ATGCCACAGCACTGGTCCTGCATTTCTATTTCTAAAAAAAAGGGGGGGAGGCTTAAAAATCTGTCTTATTAACCAGCATCTCCCCCTTAATTGGGCTTTTCTTTTTTTATTTCTCTCTTCTTTCCCCCCTGCTCCCCCATGAGAATCATGTGTGTGCAGGAGGAGGCTTTATTGTTCAGTAGTTATGTACCTTAGAGATGAAACCCAAATAAGAACAGACTCCCCTTTTGAGCTCCTAAACCACTGGATGTACTTTTGTCTTGGCTATGGATATTTAAAAATTAGATTCAGACATAATCTCAGCAATCAGGCCTTCTCTCCACCTCTTGCCTGAATTCTCATGCAGCAAGCATGGATTGGTCTCCACATTTTCATGAAGTGGTGTTTTCAATCACAATGTAGTGCTATTTTGTACTTGCTTTATGTTTGCTTGCAGCTTTCTCTCTCTGAGAGTATAACCATGATTTCAACATCTGTGCTAAATGCAGTCATATCATGTTCGGATGCTACAAGCACTGAGTTCTACCATTTCTTATTGTCCTGATAGATGCTCTGATACTAAACACGTATTAGTTCAAGTGTGACTTCCATAGAACTTTAACTGTGGAGGTGTTAATTCCAGATGTTATCAGTCTGCTTCCAGGGAAGACTCATGTGACACTACCTGTACGTGAATGAGTGTTGATTAGGTTAACAGTTCTTTCAAAAAAGACTCTGTATTAGTTCAATAATGGGAAATGCTGAAGCCACCAACAGCAAAGAATAAGTAAATATTCTTTGCATTGTGGTAAAAAACACATAACAGAATTTACCATCTTAACCATTTCTAAGTGGTTCAGTAGTGTTATGTCTAGTCACATTGTTGTGAAACAGATCTCCAGAACTTTTCCGTCTTAGAGACTTGAAACTCTATACTCATTTACTCATTAAACAGCTCTCCATTCCCTGCCCCCACCCCAGGTAGCCACCATTCTACTTTGTTTTTCTATGAATATACTTTAAATACTTGCAAGTATTAGCTCCTCATTACTGGTATTAAAGACCTGAGAGGAGCTTCTTGGGAAGGAGAATGGTTGTGGCTTACAGTCTGGAGGCCCATAGTTCAGGCTCAGTTGGTCCTATTAGTCTGATATCTGCTGGAGACTGGCATGGCAGAGCAGGTGCAGAGGAACAGTCACACGGTGAGCCAGGGAGCAGGAAGGGAAGCTGAACTGAACTTAGCTTAATGAAGCAACCCTCTCTTGAGAACTATCTTCTGAAGGCATGCTTCCACCGGATTCACCTACCAGAGGCCATTATTAGATGAAGTCTCTACCCTTAATCCATTAACCATTGACATAAGACTTTAGGGTTTAAGAATCTTCATGAGATTGAGGAGCCAAGTTCTGTTCAATCTCTAACATCAGATAAACAGAATCATTCAGTATATTTCTTTTGGTGATTGTCTTATTTCACTTAGTGTTCAAGTTTCATTCATGTTGTGGCTTGTGACAAGATGTCCTTCCTCTTTATGTCTGAGCAATATCCCATTGTATGTGTATACCACTTTTTGTTTATCCATTCATATGTTAATAGGCCTTTGGGTTGCTTCCTCCTTTTAGCGATTGTGAATGGTGCTGTTGTGAACATGTATATGCAAATATAAGGTCTAACTTTTGAGTATCTTCCTATAATGATGATGGATTTGAGTTAATTTCATCATCCTTTCTTAACCACACGTCTGATGTTGTTGTTCTTTAAAAAACTACTACTGTCTATGTATGGCCAATGAAATAATATAAACTTATTTAAAGGTCTTCAAAATGCAAAGCCAGTTAATTAGTATTGTTTATTTCCTGCTAGTTCTCTAAACTTTCCTCTTTCTGAAGCAATGTAAGCAATCAAAATGAATGTCATTTATTCTTTCTTGAAGTCTACTTCCACTACTCCAGAGTTCTTTTTCTTCGTGTCAAAATCCTCCTGTCTCCAACTCCCCCAGCCCCTCCTTCATGAACCCTTTGTGTTCCTTCTAACCTGATATATTTTATTCTTCTAAAAATCCTCCCAGTGCCTTGTGCTATACAGGATCCTAACATATTCTTCCCCATGTGTACAAGAGTTGCCTATAAACTTATTGTACCTATGCATCACCTCCAACTAATAATATTTCACTAGTGCCAGACACTGTTATAAATACCTTGTATATATTAGCTCATGTAATCTTTACAGTAACCCATGTGATAAACAACAAAAAAACAAAATCAAATGGAGCTCATTTTATTTCAACTCATAAACAATGGAAAGGTAAGTGACAAGGTGGGGAAAATATCTACTCTCCAAATGATAGTCTTTACACACATACACACACACAGATTTTTATACTTCAGAGGAAAATAATGTAAACAATAATTATATCCATTTTACAGAAGAGAAAATTGAGGTAAAGAAAGATAACTTACCTAGTCACACAATATGTATGTGTGATTATTTTTAGTAACTCTAGGTTCACAGCATAACTGAGCAGAGGTACACAGATTTCTCATATATTCCCTGTTGCATACACAGAGCCTACTCTATCAAACTCCTCTGCTGTAATGGTACATTTGTTACAATCAATGAACTACATTAGTACATCATTATCACCCAAAGTACATAGTCTATATTAGGGTTCATTTTGGGTGTTGTGCTTTCTATAGGTTTGGACAAATTTAAATGACATGCATCCACATTTTAATATCATACAGAAAAATTCCACTGTCTTTAAAACCCTCTGTGTACCACTTGTGCATCCTTTTGTTTCCGTTGATGCCTGAAGACCACTGATCCTTTTACCATTTCCATAGTTCCACCTTTTTAAGAATATTCTGTTAAGCCCCAAGGTCTTTGCTGCCTATTCTCCCAGGAGGCCTGTGGTAGCCAAAATGGCAAGGGCAGTTCTGCACCCAGCTAGGCATGGGCTAACAATAAAACTCTACTCCCTAAGCCTAAAAAAAAAAAAAAGCTGTTAAGCCTGTAAAGATTGACTTCTTTTTTTAAAAATCTATTTGACAGATAGAGTTAGATAGTGAGAGAGAGAGACAGAGAGAAAGGTCTTCCTTCCGTTGGTTCACCCCCGAAATGGCTGCTACAGCTCACACTGCGCCGATCTGAAGCCAGGAGCCAGGTACTTCCTCCTGGTCTCCCATGCAGATGCAGGAACCCAAACACCTGGGCCATCCTTCACTGCCTTTCCGGGCCTCAGTAGAGAGCTGGACTGGAAGAGGAGCGGCCGGGACCAGAACCCGGTGCCCATATGGGATGCCGGCACCACAAGGTGGAGGATTAACCAAGTGAGCCACGGCGCCGGCTCCCAAGATTGACTTCTGCTGAGAAATATACATTTACATTTCCCCTATATATTTTCATGGCTTGATAGTTCATTTCTTTTAGCTGTGAATAATATTCCATTCTCTGCATATATCAATTTAGCAATTCACCTACTAAAATGACATCTTGATTTCTTCTGTGTCTTGGAAACTATGAAAAAAAATCTAAAAATTCATGTGCAGGCTCTTTTTTTTTAAGATAAGGTATTTATTTGAAAGAGTTAAGGAGAGGGAGGGGAGAGCGTGAGAAAGCGAGAGAGAGAGACAGATCTTCCATCTGCTGGTTTACTCCCCAGATGGCCACATGGAGCATTTATATCGGGAGTGGGTGAAAACAGATGTTAATTTAAAAAATCATAACAAATACATATTTACAATTTGGATGAGCATGTTGAAGTACAAGTACAGATTGCCATGAAAGGGGGAAGGAAATATCACACTTACATGGATGAATTGTGAAAGAGAGTTGAGAAAGTGATATATGAATTGAGGACAAAGAGGTAATAGTTAACAAAGAAGAATGTGGCAGGAGAGTGGGCTTGTGAAAGTGTGCCTTCCAGTGCTGCGGAACTTCAGGAAAAGAAGGCATTGTGTTGGAAGAGAACTTGGTGTTTTATAGGAACTGTAGGTAGGCAATATAACTGAAGAGGATGGGCGGAGGTAGCAGGTGGTATGGAGTAAGTCTGATGAAGAGAGAAGGGCCTTCATAAAAACTTTTTTGTCTTTATTCCAAGAACAATAGCAGTCATGCAAGGATTTTAAGTCAGATTGTTGCAGGATTGAATTTTTTACTTTAAAAATCACAGGTTTATGATTTTTCTCTTATTTTTATACAGCACACTCATCCCCCACCTTCCCATCAGCTCTCTTCCCTGGTTGCTGTATGCATAGGGAATTGACAAAGTATGACTACACTGGAAGGTTATGGCAGTGTTCCAGATGGGAAATGATGGATGAGAGTTAGGGCTGCAGTGGATTACATTAGTGTTATAGCAGGTCAAATAGACAGGATTTGGTGATTTGGATATGACAGAAAAGAAAGGAATCAAGAATAACGTCTAGATTTCTGGCTAGTGCAAATGGATACACAGTGCCATTTGCAGAGGGAAAGAGCACTTGAGCGGGGTCATGAACTTAGTTTTGAATGTACTGACTTTGAGGTGACTTTTTGCAGAAATGTTGGATGCAGAACCTCAAGGAGAGATGTGACTCCAAATGCATTTAGGAACCAATACTGTAAGCAGGGTAACTCATGTCTTAGCCATGGATGGAAACTTCTAGGGTGACAAATGTAGAGAGAATTTTTTTACCTTTAACCAAATCTTGAGAAAAATTCCAACTCTATTATTATCTCTATTTTTTATTATGTCCTTTTATTTTTTACTATAAAACTAAAATTGTTACTTTTTATTCTCACAATTGAGCTAATTTTCTTCAAAAATTTTTCAATTTTCTCTTATTGCTATGATCTCATATTGCTCCCACCCCCCATCTCTTCCTCCAAATAAGTTTCCCCTGAGGTGAACTACTTCAAAATTAGGCCATTCATTTTTGGATTAAGATCATTCAGTAAATTATCTTTGGTTCTAACTTATTTGCATTGGTTTGATTCCATTGGTTGAAATAAAATAAAAATCAGTAAATTAATCTGCAAGGTGAGCAAAGAAGTGGAACATTTAATTGCCCATCCATAGGCTTCTTTACATATTGCATTGCTTGAGAGACTTTGCTATCCTCTGAATAGAGATTATGAGAAACATTAAAGCATGATGAGCCTTCACAATGTCTATAATCAGACGATACAGATGATAGTAGCTCAGTATGAGCACATGCATTATCAGACACAAAGAGAGCAGAAGGAAATGATAAGGGAAGACTGGTGGAATAGCTGGGAACGTATATAATGGTTTTTGCCTGCAAGATAATTACATGGGCTTTGTTTTCTGAAACAGAAGACTTCCTTCAGGAATGAAAACTGTTCTGTGGTCAAGAAAAGGTTGGAAAAGAGACGTGCTAAGGCTTGCTGACTATAATGGGAAAACAAAACAAAATATATGACTGGAAGAGAGACTTGAAGAAAAGGATAAAGTCTATGAAGATAAAAAGAAAAGATGTTTATAGGAGAAGAGTGAAAACTAGATTTTATCTCATAGCAATAACTTCTCCATTTTTGTCCCTCCTCTTCTCTCCCTGGCCCCCTGACAAAATAAAAAATGCATATAAATTGATTTATATTGTAAGAAGTAATTTCTGAAAAGAAATTTTTAAATAGTGTATGTAGTAGAATCACAAGGTAAAGCCCATGATTCTTTTCTCTAGGTACCATTAAAAGAAAATAGCAATTTTGTTTGCCTTTTTCAGAAATGGGGCATTCCAATAGACTAAAGAATTGGTATAAATTAAAAACAAATAGCAGAAAATGATTAGCCATTCTTCACTATCAGGCTTCTGATGTTATAAACAGTAATAATAGAAGTGAAGAGTTGTTATTTTCATTTTCCTCTCACTTAACTGAGCATTTCTTTCCTTGACCTTTCCAGAGGATCTATTGAAAAAAAATATAGAGTAGTAATTGATTTATACGACAGCCACATCTCAGGATGCGAATGAAATGTCAAGTAACATTAGAGAAAATTTAGAGTGAAAAACCATATAGGGAAAGAGATTAACTAGACCTGTGCTGGTGATTATTTTGATGCTTCCTTTGAACGTCACATAAAGAAAACAAGCAGACACCACAAGTATGTGTTCTGTGAGAATTCAGTGCAACAGTCAATGAAACACCTCAGATACTTCTAGGAAAATGACTTTTTTTTTTTAAGATCCCCCATTTATTTGAGAGGCAGAGGCAGAGAGAGAGGTCTTCCATCCGATGGGTAACTCCCCAGATGGCCGCAACGGCCAGAGCTGCACCAATTCAAAGCCAGGAGCCAGGAGCTTCTTGTGCATCTCCAAAGCAGGTGCAGGGGCCCAAGGACTTGGGCCATCTTCTTCTACTGCTTTCCCAGGCCTTAGCAGAAAGCTGGATTGGAAGTAGAGCAGGTGGGACTAGAACCAGTGCCCATATGGGATGCTGGCACTGCAGACAGTGGCTTTATCCGCTACTCCATGGCACCAGCCCTGGAAAATAACATTTAACACAAGGAATTAGATACTCACAAAAGCATAGTAAGGTCCTGGGTAGCTGAAGTCAGGGCCAGTCATTAGGCAGCTTTCTAGCTTCCACAAAACTGCAAACTTAGATAATCTGGGTTGGCCACTCACTCAGTTTACCAGAACTTGAACATCAGCTAACAGAGCTGTAGGAAGAAGGATTTTTGACTCTCTTCTGCCTTCCAGATCTCAAATACGATCATCTCACAGAAGGTCAGTAAACCCTAAATTACTTTCAACATTCTGTCTGCCAGAGATCCTGGGAAATGCAGTTTTTATTCTTCTATTTCCCATGATAGGAAGGAAGAGAACTTAGAAGAGTGTCGAAATGATGTTAAAGCTCAACAGGCAATATCTAGAACACACATATTCCTCCAGCAGAAAATAGTTTGCCAGCACCAAACACAGGCACTATTAAATTTTATAAACCTATAATTCAGTAAACTATATTGAAAAGGTAGTAATCACCCCCAAACATCAATTATTTACTGAATGTTTCTGTTATCTGTGCTCTTAAAGTTATTTACATCCTTTGAATCCTTGGAAATAGTACATAATAGTGTCCTACTGAGAAACTCTTTCCAACTTTATGTTCAGTGGGATAGCTTGTTTATATCACAGAAACACACCAGTCTTCGTCCTTATCTCCCAATCTAAAGAGCAGGTGGTTAAACATTTACTAGCACATCATTAATATAAGAAGACTTGTTAATAAGGAGAAAAAGAAGATAAGAGGTTTTAAGGTAGCTGGAAATATGTGAGTCATACAAAAAATTGAGAAGTAGAAAAGAAATATAATTAGAATTCAGTACAGTAAGAACTTATTATACTTGACCCTGACTAATGTCTGTCATATGGAATCTTAGACACTATAATATTTAGTCCAAGATGTGGATTTAAGGTATGTGGTTAATTTCTGGGAGTTCTAAGCCTGCAAAGGGACCAAAGAGTCATCTCCATCATTGGGATAAGTATGAGGTGTTTGTAATGATTGGAATCCATTAAAATTATGTTATTTGGGAAATATTTGTGGAAGTATAACACCTTGGAGGGCTGTGTGAGAAGAGAGGAGCCTTTTTTCTTTTTAAATTTATTAGAGAGTTTCAGAGAGAGGTAGAGAGAGAGAGGTAAGTCTTCCAACTGCTGGTTCACTCCCCAAATGGCTGCAACAGCTGGAGCTGAGCAGATCAAAAGCCAGGAGCCAGGAGCTTCCTTGGGGACTTGGGCCATCCTCTGCTGCTTTCCCAAGTGCATCAGCAGGGAGCTGGCTTGGAATTCGGGCAGCCAGGATTTGAACTGGTTCCCATATGGGATGCCAGTGCTGCAGGCTGGGGCTTTAACCTGCTGTGCCACAGTATTGCCCCCAAGTGGAAGCCTTTTAAGGAGTTCTCATCAGCACAGGTATCGCTGGAGACAAGAGACTGACCAGCTATTTCGCAAGCAAAGCTATGGTGAATCAGGGGTCATGGTCACAGTACAGGAAGCTATCCTAGGCAGCTTGGGCTCAGGTAGTGATGAAGGAACGCTGGAGGCTACTGAAGCACCAAAAGAGCCAGGAAAGAGGAACTCATTTGAAATTGCATGGAAATGGACACATGTCCTCCCTCCCTTCACCTGTATGCAACCTTAGGGCACACGACTTTTTGAGTCATAAAAATCTCTACCTGGGGCCCGCACTGTGGTGCAGTGGGTTAACACCCTGGCCTGAAGCGCTGGCATCCCATATGGGCGCCGGTTTGAGACCCAGATGCTCCACTTCCTGTCCAGCTCTCTGCTATGGCCTGGGATAGCAGTAGAAGTTGGCCCAAGTCCTTGGGTCCCTGCATCTGTGTGGGAGACCTGGAAGAAGCTCCTGGCTCCTGGCTTTAGATCGGTGCAGCTCCGGCTGTTGTGGCCACCTGGGGAGTGACCGTTCGGATGGAAGACCTCTCTCTCTCTCTCTGCCTCTCCTCTCTCTGTGTAACTCTGACTTTCAAATAAACAAATAAATAAATCTTTAAAAAAAAAAAAACTTTATCTGATGCATCATATATAGACAGGAATAAACCCTCGAGTTATTGTGTAAATAAAGATTTTCCGCTGAGCTACCAAACATACCAAGAAGAAAGCTACAGGAATCTTTTGTGAATAATCTTATATTCAGTGTACTCAGAGTTTCACATTTAGTCTTTCTTCCAGTGATCTCAACATAAAGCAAGTGTTTTGAATGGAACCCATGTAGGGAACACAGGAAAACTGTAGCAAATCAGAATCACTCTCGGGGTGCACAGGGAAGCTATCACAATTTGGAATATAAGAATTTGAGTTGATTCTACTAGTTTAGGTGCCACTTAGGATGCCTGTGTACTATATCAGAGTCCCTTTGGAGTCTCAGCACCTTGACTTCCAATCCAGCTTCTGGCTACTGTGTCTAAAAGGGCAGTGGATGATGATTCAGGTGCAGGGGGCCCTGCCATGACGTGAGAGATACAGATGGAGCCCCTGGTTATTGGCTGCGGCCTGGACCAGCCCTGGATATTGTGAGCATTTGGGAAATGAACCGGATGGAAGATTTATCTCTCTCTCTCTCTTTCTGTCAGTCTGACTTTCAAGTAATTAAATCATAAGAATAAGAATGAAGACATAAGAATGGGGTATTACGCTTAGTCTATCTTGGGCATCAAGCTTGAATTAACTGCAACAACTCTCAAGGACAATATTCTTACTTTACTTCAAGACTACCAGAGTTAGTTGTGTTCTTGAGTTTGACTGTTATTTTCTTCCTTTTGAGTTGCTCTAAAGAAAAAAATATTCCTACCTCCCTTGGGGAGAGAAGCAGAATTTTGTTTTCCTACCTATGCTGTATTTTGTCATCAGCGGATGCACCACAAATTTCTCCCAGTGTTTCATGGTACAAATTGTCAAGAATATTGATGTCTGTTGGTTAGCATACAAAAATACATGAAATGCTTTAGATTAACATTAGAATTTAGGAAGCATGCTTGACGATTATCTGAGAGAAGCCTAGGAAAATTAAATGAAGGATTCTAGGGAATGGGTAGGTATGGTTTATGTAAATAGATTTGGTACAATAATATAAAAGTTTTACTCAGAAAACAACTATCCTTGATATATCTCAGTAATTACTATAAAAACCTGAGTTCTAGAAAGCAACATTGGGCTTTTGGTCAAAATTGGTGTCTGTCATGTTGGTTTTCATTTTACAGAAAATCTGAAATATTAAACTAAGTCCAAATTGATATATTATTGTATTTAAACAGATCAATTTATTTTCTTAGCTGTTCTACTAAAGCATCCATTTTTCATACAAGGGACATTTAAATTAGAAGACTATTAAATTTGGTATCTAGAAAGGTTTTATGAGAAGCACTGAAGATTTAATATGTTTTAATAATTATGATCATGGCTAACCATTTATGGAAAAGACCAATATTTAGTAACATTTAAGATTGAATTTATAAGGTCCCTTACATTAAGAAACTTCAATTATATTGTTGGTGGGAGTGTAAATGGGAATAATATATTTCCAAAAATAATTTGGCCCTGGCCAGTGCCGCAGCTCACTTGGCTAATCCTCCACCTGTGGCACCGGCACCCCAGGTTCTAGTCTTGGTTGGGGCACCGGATTCTGTCCCGGTTGCTCCTCTTCCAGTCCAGCTCTCTGCTGTGGTTAGAGAGTGCAGTGGAGGATGGTCCAAGTGGTTGAGCCCTACAACCGCATGGAAGACTAGGAGGAAGCACCTGGCTCCTGGCTTCGGATCCGTGCAGCGTGCCGGCTGTGGCAGCCATTTAGGGGGTGAACCAATGGAAGGAAGACCTTTCTCTCTGTCTCTCTCTACTCTCACTGTCTAACTCTGCCTGTCAAAAAAAAAAAAAAAAGATGTAATTAAAAAAATAATAATTTTGCCCTAAGTTTTAGGGCTGAGCATTTCATAATAGCAGTTAAGATCCCTGCTTAGGAAACTCCATATGCCATATTGGTGTGCTTGGCCTTAAATTGTAAAGTGGAACATTTTTATTCTGTACTACCCAGCATTTTTACTTGTAGGTTTATAGCTTAGAGAAACTTCTGTTTGTGCACTGAGATAGTAAAAAAAATCATTCATGGAATCATTGATCATAATAGGAACAATTAGAATTTAAAAATTCATAGAAAGATGAATACATAAACAATGGACTATTATATGGCAGTAAAAATGACTGAACTATGGGTAACAACATGGGAGGATCTAGAGATAAAATAGTGAGAAAACACATACTGGAGGATTATATATTGTAAGATATCATTTTTATAAATGTCAAAGCTAAGCAAAACTAAAAAAATTATTATTCAGGTATACAGACATATGTGATTTAGGTTTTTAAGATTTCTTTATATTTATTTATTTGAAAGGTAGAACAGCTGGGCCGGTATTGTGGCATAGTGGGTAAAGCCCCCACCTGCTACGCCGGCATCCTGTATGGGCGTGGGTTTGAGTACTGGCTGCTCCACTTCTGATCCAGCTCCCTGCTAATGTGCCTGGGAAAACAATAGAAGATGGCTTAAATTCTTGGGCCCCTGCACCCATGTGGGAGACCGGAAGAAGCTCCTGGCTTCCAACTGGCCCTTGTCTGGCCACTGTGGCCCCAAACCAGTGAACCAGTGGAAGGATGATCTTTCTCTCCCTCTCACGCTCTGCCTTTCAAATAAATAAATACACCTTAAAAAAAAAAAAAAGGCAGAGCAGCGGCAGTGTATGAGGGAGATCGTCCATCCATAGCTTCACTATCCCAGTGAGCTCATGCCACCCGCATGGGAGATCTGAATGCAGCTCCAGGCTTCTCTCTTTCTCTCTCTCTGTAACTCTGTTAAATACAACTTAAACTGACTGATAATTTTAATTTAATTAAAATTGAAAAATATGCAGAGAATTTCTATACATATAAAAGTTTTACTTAAAATGTATTATTTTAAGGGATTTTTAAATCAGATACATCATTCAGAGGCTCAGCTGATAAATCACTTTACATTTGAGTTTTATAACTTCGTATGAAGTGGCAAAAACAAAAATAGATGAGGGCATCATGGAGCAACATCTTACTGGAAAATAGATTCATTGGTTAAAACTTTTTTAAAAATATTCCTTAAACTTAAGAGGTAGAACTATGAAAATTTTTTCTGAAAATATTATTTATTTATTTATTTATTTTTTTGACAGGCAGAGTGGACAGTGAGAGAGAGAGACAGAGAGAAAGGTCTTGCTTTTTTGCCGTTGGTTCACCCTCCAATGGCCGCCGCGGTTGGCGCGCTGCGGCCAGCGCACTACGCTGATCAGAAGGCAGGAGCCAGGTGCTTCTCCTGGTCTCCCATGGGGTGCAGGGCCCAAGCACTTGGGCCATCCTCCACTGCACTCCCGGGCCACAGCAGAGAGCTGGCCTGGAAGAGGGGCAACCGGGACAGAATCCGGCGCCCCGACCGGGACTAGAACCCGGTGTGCCGGCGCCGCTAGGCGGAGGATTAGCATATTGAGCTGCAGCGCCGGCCTGAAAATATTTTTTAGATTTATTTATTTTATTTGAAAGGTAGAGTTACAGAGAGAGATAGAGATACAGAGAGAGAGAGATCTTCCATCCGCTGGTTCCCTCCCCAAAGGGCCACAATGGCCATAGCTGAGCTGATCTGAAGCCAGAAGCTTCTTCTGGGTCTCCCACGTGGGTGTAGGGATCCAAATACTTGGGCCATCTTCCACTACTTTCCCAGGCTCATTAGCAGGGGACTGGATTGGAAGTAGGGCAGCTGGGACTCACACCAGCACCCATATGGAATGCCAGCATTGCAGGCGGCGGCTTTACTTGCTATGCTACAGTGGCCGGCCCTTCTGAAAATAATTTTTAAAAGTGATATATTTATGTTAGAAGTTTGACATGAGTTACTTGCATAGTTGAAAATGGTAATTACCTGGAAAGGATTTTATCACTATTGTAGTTCATGAAAACCTAGGATTGTCATTAGCTCTCTATTCGTTGCCATGTTACTTTAGTAGTAAAGCATTGGTATAATGTGCACTTATCCTACCTTTTTCCTCTCTGTGAAATTTAGACACTATCTCACTAGCAACAGATCTTTTGGATCAGTTTACCGGCACTTGGCTTCTGCCCCACAGATATTTTCAATGAGTAAGGGAAATATTCATAGTGCAGTGCTTGTCCCAAAGTCTAAAATCAAAATTGTGGAATAAGAATTCCATGTATTTTGTGGCTGGTGTTATGGAGCAGTGGGTTAAGCCACCACACCATAAAGGAGTGCTGGTTCCAGTCTAAGTTGTTCCACTTCCAATCAAGTTTCTTGCTAATGTCCCTGGGAAAGCAGTGGAAGATGGCCCAAGTACTTGGGCCTCTGCCACCCATGTGGGAGTGCTGGTGTTTTGTGTTCCTGGCTTGTTGCAGCGAATTGGATAGTGAATCAGTGAATGGAAGATCTCTGTCTCCCTATTTCTGTGTCTCTCTAACTCTCTGTCACTCTGCCTTTGAAATAAAACAATTAATAAAAGAAAGAACCCATGTATTCTTTTTGAGATTTCTATGGCAGAGATCTACTGAAATGTTACCACAGAAGTGTAAAAATTAGATTAGTCATCTCAGCATCGCTAGGAAATCGGTGTGGATGTTAGAGTACAAAACTGGTGATACGAAGAATGGAGTTATTTGTTGAACTATGATATTCATTTGACATCTTTGTGCCTCACTTCCCTCACATACATAAATAGAGACAACAGCTTCTCTGTTTGCCTCAGAGGATTGTTAAGAGAATGGAAATAAGCTGCTATACATAAAAAACCTTTGTAGTCTCAAGAAATTTGCAAATGTTAGTCACTAGAAGAAGGTCTTTTATTTCTCTAATACATTAAATTTCTTTTTTACAATGATTTTTTAAAATTTATTTGAGGCCGGCGCTGCAGCTCAATATGCTAATCCTCCGCCTAGCGGCGCCGGCACACCAGGTTCTAGTCCCGGTTGGGGCGCCGGATTCTGTCCCGGTTGCCCCTCTTCCAGGCCAGCTCTCTGCTGTGGCCCGGGAGTACAGTGGAGGATGGCCCAAGTGCTTGGGCCCTGCACCCCATGGGAGACCAGGAGAAGCACTTGGCTCCTGCCTTCGGTGCGCCGGCCGTGGCAGGCATTGGAACGTGAACCAACAGGGAAAAGGAAGACCTTTCTCTCTCTCTCTCTCACTATCCACTCTGCCTGTCAAAAAAAAAAAAAAAAAAAAAAAAAAAAAAGAAAAGAAAAAAGAAGAAAGAAAAATTTATTTGAGAGGCGGAGTTACAGATATAGGGAGAGAGAGAGAGAGAAAGGTCTTCCATCTGCTGGTTCACTCCCCAGATGACCACAATGGCCGGAACTGGGCCAATCCGAAGCCAGGAGCCAGGAGCCTCTTCCGGGTCTCCCACATGGGTGCAGGGGCCCAAGCACTTGGGCCATCTTCTATTGTTTTTCCAGGCCTGAGCAGAGAGCTGGATTGGAAGAGGAGCATCTGGGACTTGAATGGGTACCCATTTGGGATGCCAGCGCTGCAGATGGAAGGTTAGCCCACTATGTCACAGTGTTGGCCCCAGTATATTAAGTTGCACAGTAAACTATAACAAAAAACTTATTTAGGCATTTTTTAAAAATTGACAATGTAAATTACATGAATTTCTTAATATAAATAAACAAGTGCCTATAGATTCTGCTTGAAAAATTATTTTACTGGGGGCTGAAGTAGCATAGCAGGTAAAGCCAAGGCCTGCAAAGCCGGCATCCAGTTTGAGTCCTGGTTGTTCCACTTTCAATGTGGCTCCCTGACAATGTGCCTGGGAAGGCACATTGGGATGCTGCAGCCATGTGGAAGACCTGAGAGAAGATCCTAGCTCCTGGCTTTGGTCTGGTCCAGCCCTGACCATTGATCCATTTGGGGAGTGAGCCAGCAGACAGAAGATCTCTCTCTCTCCCTCTCTGTCTCTCCCTCTCTCTAACTGTGCCTTTCAAATAAATAAAATAATTCTTAAAAAAGTTATTTGATTTTTCACAGGATGAACCACTTACATGTAAATGTCAACACATATCTCCTTAGATTCTCAGGATATGTAGATTTCTTAGTTAATTCATCAAGTCGAGCCTTGCTGTTTAACTTGCAAAGTGATCCGCAAGATAGTTTCTCCTCTTTGCTTAGGTATGGGGAAGCAGAGCTTCTGCTCTTCCTAAGCATCTATCGTGTGGTTATCAATACAGGAATGTTGTGGACAGGCCTGGCGGGCCTCTGGGTTTGATTTTACTACTATTCCATGGCCCAGTTTGACTTGTAGTTCTGTAATCTTTGTGATAAACATATTCATATATAGACTGATAAGACACCTATAAGTGATTTGCTAATTTATAGTAAAAACATTGGAAACTTGAAAGCTTATTTTTATTTGAAAGGGAGCCAGAGAGAGAGATAGAGAGAGAGAGAGAGAGAAAGAGAGAATCTCCTTCTATCTGCTAGTTTACTCTCCAAATGCCCTAAAACACCTGAGGCTGGGCCAATCTGAATCCAGGAGCCAGAAACTCAATCCAGGTGTCCCTAGCAAGTGGCAAAATCCCAAGTGCTTGAGCTATCATCTGCTGCCTCCCACAGCATGCAACAGCAGGAAGCCAAATCTGAACCAGAGGTGGGACTTGAACTCCAATATGTGATGGAGGTGACCCAAGTGCCGGTTACCATCCATGCTACAATGTCTGCCCCTGAAAACTTATATCAATAATAACACTAATGCATCACCTTCTTTTACAGTTCCTAAAGGATTTTGAATTGTTACCTCATTTTGGAATCTTTCATTATTGAACACACAATTTGTTTTAGACTTTTATTTTCTGTATTTATTAGGTGGAAAACACTGAGCAGTGCAAAGCAGAACAAGAGACTGTATCCTACATGTCAAAATCACAATTTGTCAACAGTTCTTTGTATTTTCTTTCTCTTTTCTATGATTTTACTATTGATATTATACTGTATATGCTATTTAAATGTGTAAATTCCCATTTTTTTCTGGTTATGATGGAAATCTATGCCTTTTGTGGCAACTTTGGAAAAGTTATGGAAAATAGAAGTCTAAAACAGGAAATGAAAACCACCCATAATCCACTAGAGCAGTTAAACACTGAACATTTTGGTGTTTTTTCCTTCCAGAACCTTTTATTTTACTTCACAAAACACAACCCGGATCACAGCAAGGCAGAACTGCTTGAGGGGACAGGCCCTGCCTTGGCTGGGATCGCACAGCCTCTGCTCTCCAGGCCCGCCGGCTTCAGAGGCAGATCAGCACTCTGGTACGTGGACAGGGGTGGCCGGAGTTACTGTCGCCCTTTACGGCTCGCTGGTCCCTGTAGTCTAAGCTGACTTGCGCACTGTTCCCTTCTGGGACCGATTCCCACCTTCAAGGAAGATGCCCACCTCCCACATTTCAAGTTAGGTTTGAAGGCTTCTGGAAGCCCGCACTCACTCCCGCTTATTCACAGACCCTCGCCCCTAGGCCATTTCCTGCGACGGTTGAAGCGGGACAGGAGGCCGCCGCTTAGGAGGGTCAAAGGGACCTTCATACCAAAGGGTAGAATCACAGCCCGCCCTCGCCCCGCGGCTCCATTCGGAAGCTGCCTGTCTCCTTGTGGCAGGGTTGCGACTAGGCATGGCTTTAGTAAACTCCTGATCCCAGCGTCGCGGCCAGACCTTCCTTGCCGCTTCAGAGATGATCATACGCGCACGCTTGATGTGACTCGAGTTCTCCCATTCTGTGGTTCTCGGGCAGGAGAAGGCCGTGAGGCCTTCCACTCCGGCAGGCCCCGGTAGCAAAACGCTCAGGCTGCCGCCAACTACTTGAGCTTCTCCGTCTCGCTTTGCGAAGCGGGAGAAATGCGTCCCTTCTCGCTTGCCTTATGCCTGGCGATGCCGGGACCGCACTACGGTGCAGCCTGCCGGAGGGGGGAACGCTCACGTGCGCTTCTCTACTTCCCAGCAAGCGGCTGCGGCTCCGAGGAAACCAAGCCCAAGGCTGGCAGGGTCCGCATTATCTTGACCACGGAGCCGCACTGGCGGCGGGGACGGCCAGCTGCAGGAGCCGGGCGGCGGACGCCTCCGTGGCCTCCCCCCGTGTTCCTCTGGCCCGCCCAGGGCTTCAAGCGCGCGCCAGCAGCGCAGAGCTTCCTTAGCCTCTGACAGCTCGGTGGGAGCATCGCAGGGTCTCGAATCCCTGCTCGAGGGGGCGGGACGGGGCGGGGCGAGCGCACAGGGCGGGGCGAGCGCGAGCCGGGGCGCGAGGAGGGAGCTCGCAGGCAAAACCGAGCCGAGCAGAGCCGAGGCTGGAGGTGCCGGGGAGAGTGAGGCAGAGCCGGGCCGGCCGCCTGCGGCTTAGCGCCGATCGTGCCGCGTTGCCGGGCGCCGTGTACCCCGCCTTTGCCCAGGCTCCAGCAAAACTTTTATTCTCTGGGGCCCCCAGGGTGTGTGTGTGAAGGAATCGGAGCCCTCGGGTGTCTCGGGGCGCCCCTGCAGCGGCGACCGAGGGGACGTGCCAGCCCTCGCCAGCCCGGCTCTCGCGCCCGGCGCCTCTTCACCTGCCGATCGCTCTCGGGAGCCGCGAGGGGGCACCCCCGGAGGGGCAGCGCGGGCGCCGGCGTCCCCCAACTCTCCTGCTCGCGGCGGCAGACCCGCCCGGCGCAACTTTCACTCGATTCCTCTCACTCCACCGAGACACCCGACGCTGCTGCTGCGGCGGCCGCTGCCGCTGCTGCCGTCGCCGCGGTCTCACAAAGGGGGCGCGGGAGGGGAGGCGGCGCGGGCGGCGGGCACGGGCCTCCGGGCCGCCGAAGCGGGGAGACAAAAGGAAAACTGCCTGTGCTCCCGGTGCCCGTTCGGGGCCGCCTGCCCGTCCGCCTCCTGACCGGCTCCGCGCGCCTCCTCCCTCCCGCCACCCTCGGCCGCCGCTCCGCCTCCCTCGTCGCGGGCCGGCCCCGCAGTGCTCTGGGACCCGGCGAGCCTTCGGGGCGCGCGTCGCTGCTGGTGGTTGGGGCTCTAGGGATAATAAATGATAGAGGATACAATGACTTTGCTGTCTCTGCTGGGTCGCATCATGCGCTACTTCTTGCTGAGACCGGAGACGCTCTTCCTGCTGTGCATCAGCTTGGCGCTGTGGAGTTACTTCTTCCACACGGACGAGGTGAAGACCATTGTCAAGTCCAGCCGGGACGCCGTGAAGATGGTGAAGGGCAAGGTGGCGGAGATCATGCAGAACGACCGACTCGGGGGGCTCGACGTGCTGGAGGCCGAGTTTTCCAAGACCTGGGAGTTCAAGAGCCACAATGTGGCGGTGTACTCCATTCAGGGCCGCAGAGACCACATGGAGGACCGCTTCGAAGTTCTGACGGATCTGGCCAACAAGACGCACCCGTCCATCTTCGGGATCTTCGATGGGCACGGCGGTGAGGTAGGAGCTCCCTGGGGGCTTTGTTTTGGGGTGTGTATGTGTGTGTGTGTGTGTGTGCGCCCGCTTGTGGGTGTAAACTGCAGGACGTCGTGTGCGCCTCGGGGAAGGACCCTGGTGTGGTGGTGATGACCCAGTGCCAGACTGGACAAATGCTGCTCAATTCGCAGGGTTGGGATGGAGGGTCCAATTTAGCGGAGGCAGATGGAGAGTCGTGCCTCTTGCCTTAAGGTTCCCAAGGCCGGAATCCAGCAAATGACTGTGCTTGTTTTTTGGAGGGGAGAGTTAGTGGTATTTCCAGTGAACTTTGGCTCCTGGCCCGAGTTGCCCCTGTTTTTAGTGTTTGAGGCTGAACTGGACACTGAGAAGACAGACCGTATCTCTGATGTTACAGTAGGGAAAAAGATTCAATCTGCAGAGCAGAGCAGGGCTCAGTGCGAGCGAAGGGAGCTGTGATTCTTGGTGTCGCCTTCCCTCTAGGGTGGAAGCCGAAGGGGCAACTCAGCACTTCTCCCCAACTCCATCAACTTTGCAAATGCAACCCGGCCGTTTGACAGGAGCCCCTGGCTGGGCCGCTGTTTTTAGCCGGGTCGCAGCGCGGGACCGGGATGCCGCTGGCCTTTGCAGTGGCAGTGGCCGCAGAGGAGGCAGTGCCCCCACCTCACCCCTTGCGCCCGGGCCTGCGCGTCGAGGCGCAGGCGTCTGCCTGCTTCTAGACTCTTTTGTTTGGGGTTCGGTCAGGAGAGGGAGAGGGGCCTAAGGGCCGGTTCAAGTCCCTGTGCCACATTTCTGCTGCACTGGGTTGCGCTCTGAATCTCAGGTTTCCTGGAGGTCAAGGGAGAGTTTGGCGCCTGTCCTTGAGCCTTGGCCCAGACAGTGGTGAATTTAGCTCCAGCCTCATGCACTAAAGAGCCCCAGACCTGTCACCCCATCTCTCTCAATTTGGCCGTTGTAACTAAGTTCCATGGCTTTTTCTTCCTTTGGGCAGCAAGCTTTCTTGCCCTTCTTGCTCTGCCCCAATCCCCACCCTGCCCCCATTCCTATCCAACTTTCCCCTCAACCCCCTCAACTCTCTTCTCTGCCCTCTGATCTCCGAGTGGGCTGAGTGGGCTGCTGGGAACCGAAGGGAATGCCATTCTCTTTGAAGCTTTTACTTGTTCTTTGGCCTTTGTTTTGGGTAAACATTGAGAAGGTCCTCAATTAGTTATCTTACCTGCCTTCTCCACCCCTCACCTGCTAATATTTCCACAATACTATTCCAACTGCTTTGAAGAACTGACTTTGCCAAGAATGACAAACTCAGTAGGAAAACTTGTTTGATAGAACTGATACCAGTTTTTTGCTATTTTCCACCCATCCCAGCCTTTTTTGTAATCTATCTTTCAGAAAGACAGTTTCTCACTGGTTCTAATATTTGTAGCCTCCTGTGCAGTTGGGTTCTTTTTCCTCCTTGGTCACAGGGCAGGTTAAAGATGTGAAGTTAATTGAAGGGAGAGACACTGTGTACTTTGGCAAAAACGTACCGGAATGACATGGTTGCCAATATAATAACTGATTTGTTTTCTTGGCTTGAGTCAGTCAAAGCTGTATTTTCATTTTATGTGCCTAGATTCACATAAGCTTTGAAAAGGGGCCTTCAAAAAATTCATGGAAAAATGAACTCAAAAGATGCAAATTTTCTACAAAGTTTTTGAAGCCTTCCATTTTTAAAAACATTTTTTATTAAAATTACTGACATAATTTTTCTCATCTTTGAAGCTGCAATTTTAATTTAAAGGTCTAGATAGACTATTATATTGTGAAACTTTGGGTTGTAGCTGTCTGGCTGTGAGGTATTGTGTTTTGAGCCTGCCGCACGTGTAAGTGATTGCATAATTAAATTTTTTAAAAAAAATTGATACTCTAAAACTTGAAAGATCATTTTCCTGAAAACATTTGCTATTTGTAAAATAGTTTATATTATCTTTAAAAATACTTCCCTTTGTAACCTGCTGTGTGAAGCCAGTTCACTTATCTTAGCTTTGTTTTACGGCAAAAGCAAGTGCTCTTGCTCTGAAAGGAATTATTTAGTTGCTATACAGAGTGTGATAGTAACCAATAATACTAGGTTATTTCGGTCTTATTTTTTTCTTATATATTAATCAAAGAACATCCTGCCACCTAATTCTTGTCTTTTGTATGGTTTAGCTCCTTTTAACATTCACCAGAGGAGGGTGCCACTGTTTGATTTTGGTATAGATGTTAATTGACTCCTGAAGTCTCTTGTATTTAGAAGCTGTATCAAGAGTGTTGCAAAAGATACAGGAAGGATTTAATTTTATTTCTAGTAATTCACACGAATAAGATGGAGCATAAAAAACCAGGCACCCTCTAAGTTATAGTGCTTTTTAGATCTGAAGGGGACTGTGTATATCCTTAACTATCCACTTCATCTTTGTATATCCAGTTCATCCCATTTGTTTAGATGAGATGCTGATGGTTGGAGAAATTGTGACCTTCCTAAGGCTACATGGCCAGTGCGAGACTTTTGTTTGTTTGTCTTTATATGAAACTACTGGACAAATTGTTTTGTGTATTTACTTTGATAAATGGCAACCTGGAGGTATAAGAGGGCATGAGATATAACCTCTTTCCTTAAAGTTTCAGTCTAGGCAGAGAGAGAGAGAGAGAAGAGAGAAGAAAGAGAGAGAGAGAGAGAGAGAGAGAGAGAGAGAGAGAGAGAGAGAGAGAGAAAGTATACACATACCTATACCAAAAAAATTATAGTCATGGTGTGCTTAGGGTGTTATGGGGACACATAAGTGGGTATTTAAATCCCACTTGGGGGATGGGAGGCCCAGGGAAAAACACCTGTGAAAAAAGCATTATTTACTGCAAGATTAAAAGGTAGACTTTATTTGAGATCTAGCTTTGAATCTCTGCTCTGCCTTTTACTAGCTGTGACCTGAGGCTTGTTGCTTAAGCTGCCTATCTGGGAGTTTCTTATCTAAAAAATAGAGATAATAATGCATGTCAGGTGTGCCCTCATCAGTTGTATCATACCCTGTCTAGGGACAGACTCAATGGAGAGAAAGATATGGAAGAAGGAAGCTCATGGACCAAGAAATCTGCAGTGAGTGTCAGGGCAGCAGTATCCAAGGGAGAGAGGTTATACCTGTGGAAGCCACAGTTTGATCACTGTTAGAAAGATGTGTATTGGGTAGGGATAATTCATTAGATATTCCTTAAACTGTGTCTCTGTTGTAACTTCTGGTGAGCTTTTGGTTATTAATTCAGGATTCTAGGTATAATTGGACATTGCAAAAGCAGTCTCCTGGCTTTGGGTGCATATTTTCTGATTAGTTAAAAGGGATATTCTCTATGATTAGTTAATAAATTGGTATTCTGACTTGTACTTCAGTCCCTTAAGAGTTAGGTTAGCATGAGTTAGTTTTCTGGAACATATTCAACTGCAGATTCTTTGGCAAAGATAAATTTCTGGACTTGTTACACTGAGGATCAGTCTGGGTATGACTGTGACTTTTCTTCTTCTAGATGAATTATTAAAGAGTTTTGTCTCAGTGGTCTCACAGGCCAGCTTCTTCACCTGATGCTCTCGGGCCTTTGAGACATCTTAGCCACAATACCCTGGATGGATTGACTGTGAACGAGGGTACTTCAAAAATTCTTAGAAAATAGAATTAAAACATCCTTATTTTGGTGCAAAAAAATATTGAAATCCATGCATATCAGAGGTGTTCAAAAAGTTGATCAAAATAAGTATTAGGAAAAAATATGCATGGATTTCAAAGAATTTTTGCACCAAAATAAACTTATCTTTTAATTGTATTTTTCCATAACATTTTTGAAGTTCCAACATATGTGCCTAAAGCTTTGACAGTGATTGTTTTGTTGTATAGCATACAACAACAAACAGGTGAGAAAACCTCTCGGATTTTTATGAATTTATATGGGAAGGTTGTTATTTTTGAAGTTCAAAAATAATATATAGGAAATGATTGTAGTTGTGCTTAACTGTAATTTCTACCCACAGGCAAAAAGGATGTGTGTGTGTTTCTTTTTATACCGTCTAGAAGAAATATTACCTATCCTTTGAGACAGTTTTGTCCCTGTTCACTGCTGAGACCTATCTAGGAGAAGGGATTGTTCTGTGCTCCATATGCTTATGGGCATTTCTGTACTAAAGGTCAGATATATCTTGACAGTTGACACACAGCTTGACCAATGGTTACAGCTTAGTGGTACTCATTTTGCATTAGAGAAAAGTCACAGTTCTGGCGCTTGTCAGGGCCTGCAATCTTGAGGCTAAGTGCTTAGAAGGGAAACTGCTTAGAGAGGATGGACACCCGAAGGATATACATAGACAGCCTGGTTCTTTAGATCAGTAGTTCTCAACCTTTCTTGAGACTTACTACCCTTGGAGAATGCTACGAGACTGCAGATATATGCCCCAGAAAAATGGGCATGCACAGCAAATTTTGTTTGTAATTTCAAAGGCAAATGGATACGCGAGGGCTGCAGATTCAGGGATGGGGAACCTTTTCTCTGCCAATGGCCACTTGGGTGTTTATAAAATCATTCATGGGTTATACAAAAATACCAGCTTAAAAATTAGCCTCTTACAGATTTATTGAGTTTTGAGTCCTGCCTGCACTTGCCTTGCCAAGACTGGACTAGGTGATTTCATGGGTCTTATATGAACCATGGGCCAGATGCTCCCCACCCCTAATAGAACAAAAGTGTTCCTGATGACCTGCAAGGAGCTGTGTGCCTGACTCCTACCTTGGTACTAATCTTGCCTTTGCCTCCTGCATTCCCATGTGTAGACTGTGTGCTGTCATTGCCTATTGAGGTTGCTATGCTGAATGGTCTCCCAAAACTCTCTGCCAAATAAGGATGCTATTGTGGAGGACTTCGTTAGGTTATGTGGCATCTTCTTTATGAAGACTAAGGGAGAAAGAGGACTCTGAAACCTTTTGGTTTTAAATCTTAAGGATGCTGAT